GGGGGGGTTGGTAGGGGAGCGGGGCCCCCTGTCATGCAGGCCGCAGAGAGGGGACGCGCTCTCCCCGAAGCAGACCCCACCCTTCTGCCCGTTTTCCTCACTTGTAAATCCACATACTGTTCGTGATTTGGGTGCTGCCTTTCCAAATGCCCGTGACCGTCCTCTTACCTGGTGAAGTGCAGAATAGCCCTCGGGGAGGTTTGTCAGCTTCCTCTGCCCTTAGCTGTCGCTACCGACCACAGACCACCCGGTTTAGTGGGAGGATGGGGACTAGAGGGTACCAGAAGGGAAGGGAGAGAGGAAGAAAGAGAAAGAAAAGCAGAGTAATTGCTGGGGGGAGGGGTTCCAAAACGAAGTCAGCAAAGGATTAAACCCATCTTTTCAAAGAGAGGTTTTGCTTTTTAAAATTCCAGTTCTATGTGATTAACACGTGGCGCACCTCAAACATGACATAGAAAGGTTAAAAATAAAGGGAAAAGAGATACAAGCTGAACACGGATCAAAAGAAAGCAGACATTACAGTTTCAGCATCAGACAAAACAGACGTGAAGGCAGAAAGCCACATAAAGAAAAAAGGTCAATACTTAATGACAAGCGAACCAATGCACCAAGATGATGCGATGATCCTGCGTTCATGTGCACCTAGCAACGTTTGCCTCAAACTGCTGAAGAAAAACGGTCAGAATTGCAAGGAAACACAGACAAACCGCCGTCAGGCTGGGGAAGCGCGATTTCCCTCTGACACTGATGAAACAGATAAAAAGTTGACAAAATTTACTTAATGGACACATATAGAACTCGAGTCCAGCAGTTAGAAAACTGAAGAGTCTTTTCAAGCACGCGTGTGCGTGTTTCCCAGAATGGATGACAGTACTGAGCCACAGAGAAAGTCAAAATAGCCCCAGATCAATACCACTCGGACCACATTCTCTGACCTCAGTGTGATATAACTGAAAGTCGATAATGAGAGATGGCCAGAACAATTTGTTAGTGGGCAGATAAACCCATAAGCTCCAAAGGAGGGCAGCACACCCATCAGACTGTCTTAAGAAGCCAGTGGACGCAGGGCAGGTCGTGGAATGGGCTGTATTTCATCAGGAGCATGGGGGTGGTCAGCTTGGACGGATGGCGAGGAAAGGGCAGGTCATGCAGTGAGCTGGGCGGGTCCCGAGGTCTTCAGGGCCGGATAGATGATGCCACTGAGTTGCAGTCCCCACGGCGCTTTGTGGAAGGTGAGGGGTCCAGGAGAAGCGCGTTTCAGCAGGAGGTTGGCAGCTGGTGGTTCTGACTCAGGGAAATGACAGAACCCAAAAGGAGGGTTGAACACACACCTGGCTCCGATGCATCTAGTCTAGGGGGAGGAGGCAGACGGACCAGGGTGCAGAGGTCAGCAGCTGAACGGGTATGTATGGACCACCCACAGCTGTGCGTTTTAGCAGCTCCAAAGAAGATGAAGAATGTGGTGACAATGGTGGGGATGAAGAGGGACTGATGGCAGGAAGAGATTTTAAATGCAGAACCAACAGACAGCGTTGGTCAGCTGACTTTGTTGCTGTGTGGAACGGAGATGGGAGAATTCAAGTTCAGGGGACAAGGAGACCTAGGTAATCGCTTGCCGTGGAAGGGGCCGAGAGGGGAGACAAAAAAGTTACCTGGCACGTGCCTGGCGTCCACGTGGACCAAGCTAGCTGAGCCAGGGAGTTCCCTGTTCATTTAGTGTAGGGGTCGGCATGGGCCCAGTGTGGCCCAGCACCCGTTTCTGTAAATCAAGTTTTATTAGAACACAGCCAAACCCATATGTTTCCATATTGTCTGCAGCTCCTTACGTGCTGCAGTGGTTCAGCTGTGTAACTGCCACAGCATCTTAATGCCGAGAGCTGAAAATATTTACAGTGTGGAGACCCCTAAGTTAGCGGACACAGCCCATAGTTTTCGTCCAGATTCACCAAACCCTCTGACACCAACTGTCTTTTTTTTTACGACCTCCTAACTTATGCCCCGTTTATAATGCATCTGGAAGCAACAGGTTCTGTTCTCTCCCCTGTGGCATCACAGCCACTCACAAGAGAACTGAAAGGTGAAAAGTGAGTAATCCAGGAAGGCAGCCTTCAATTCCCTCTTATTTCCCTGACCAGGAAGAGGGCGGGTAGGTCCCCAGCATATAATTTGTGTATGGCTGCTGCCACCTAGTGTTCAGATGCTGCTACTTCACCTTTATGGAGCCCGCCCCAACGTTCTCTTCCCCAGGATACACCTTCCTTCCTCACCAGATAGCTAGCGTGGGGGTATTCATTGACAATTCAACGTCCCCTCAATTGATGAAGAATCTCAGCCATCAAAGGGCAGCCTGTAGTTCAAGGCAAACACCGCTTTCTCCTTTCTGACCTGGTCCCTAGCAACTTCTTTTGGTTTCACTACAAAGAAATTCTTCAGCCCACATGTCTTTGGGGAGTTGGCTGCTGAAGCGGTTTTCCTTTCTGAAGTGTCATTACCTCCAGAGGACATGTTTTCCAGAGAGGAAACATGCCCTCAGCTCTCACTTAACTCGGTGGCAGGCATAATTCGAACCAGCCGGGAGGGCAACGTCATTTGTGCTTAACCATTGTGCTCCGCATATCCCTTCCTCGTGAAGCTTTGACTAAACACACA